TTTTCTTAAAAAAAGAAAAGTGAAAGTGACAACTAAAGAGTGAGATATACATGATTTATCTATAAATGATAGAATTACAATGTTAATCCCTTTATACTATTTACCTACTTTTAAAAATTTTCTAAAATGACTACCTTAGTCACGAGAAAGAACAAAAGTTATTTTGAAATTTAGAAAATAACATGAAATGAGGTGACTGGACTAGTGGTGACACATAAAATCTTTATAGCTTTAATAATATATAATTTTAGAATGTATTTTTAAAGGACTAAGTATTAAAAAGTAATTCAAAAGCCTATTACAATTTTAATCAAAATCTCAAAGAGATTTCTGAAATATTGACAAAATAATTTAATAGTCATCAGAAAGAATTGTTAACTTTTTTTTTCTGAAGGAAAAGGACTATTACAGGACCTGTACTACCACATATGAGATGGCATTAGCTTATTAAATATGAAATGTCTGATTTCCTAAAGTACTAAGTTTGACAGTTGACATCTCTGACATTTCACTTTGACACTCCTTATTTTTTTTTTATTGTGAAGGTATACCTTCAGTCTTGCAAATGCATGTTTTTGCTTGTGATTATCTGTCAATTTTTTCAGACTAATTTTTGTGAAACCATGGATGAGTAAAAAATTCACATTATTTTCGAATATGAGTTCCATCCTGGAACAAATGCAGTGCAGACAGCTGAAAATATCAACGAAGTCTTTGGGAAAGATGTGGCTAATGAATGCACAGAATGTTGATGATTTGAGAAGTTCCATTTTGGTGATTTTAAACTTGAAAATGAGCTGCGCGGGCAGACCTGACACCAAGGTGGATAATGATGAGCTGAAAGCTATAGCGGAAGCAAATCCATCTCAACCTATGCGTGAATTAGCAGCAAGGTTTGATGTTACTATTGCAACAATATTGGACCATTTGAAACAAATAAGGAAGGTAAAGAAGATGGATAGATAGATTCCGCATGAATTAAACGAACATCAGAAGAGAAACCGTCTTGAATCTTACCTTTCTTTGCTGTCACACCATAAAGGCGAACCATTTCTACTCCGTATTGTTACATGTGATAAAAAATGACTTCTTTTTGACACTCACGAGCATTCAGCATAATGGTTGGATAAAGATGAAGTGCTGAAACACAGTCCAAAACCAAATATTCATAAAAAAAAAAAAAAAGCTAACGGTGTCTGTTTGGTGGTCCAGCGCTGGTATTATCCACTACAGCTTCATGAAACATGGTCAATCGATTACAGTGGATGTCTACTGCACTCAATTGGATGAAATAATAGAGATGCTTGTTATTAAGCAGCCAAGATTGGTCAGTAGAGACAGGCCAATCCTCTTGCAAGACAATGCTCAACCACATGTCGCACAAACAACGCTGCTCCAACTACAGAGGCTGGACTTGGAAACTCTGTCATCCACCATATTCACCAGACTTTGTACCAACTGACTACCACTTCTTCCAGGATTTGGACCACTTATTGCAAGGAAAAATATTCTATTCTCAAAGAGCTGTGGAAAACGCCTTTGGCGATTTCATCACCACTTGCTCTCAAGGCTTCTTCCCTGCTGGCATAAACAAGCTACTGTTAAGATGGCAAAACTTTGTCAACAGTTTAAGTGCATACTTTGATTAATTGTTCTGCTTCTTGTTTGAAATATAATAAGCTACACCTTTGATTTGAAATCAAACATTTCATATTTAATGAACTTAATATAAATTATTAAATAACCAAAGGATAGAGTATGTATACATTAAGTCTTCCAATAACTTATAGTGATGTGAAGATACAGCACTCTAATATAGAGCATGAAAAGATGAGTCCAGCTATTTTAAAAACAGATGATAGACAGATGACAAAAAAACTAAAAGATTTTAAAAAATGTTATCAGTACATATTTGTTGAATTATAGCATTTATACTTTCTGTGAAAACATAATTTTTTAAGGATGATAAAAACATAAATAGCAGCTGGGCATGGTGGTTCATGCCTGGAATCCTAGCAATTGGGTAGGCGGAGGTAGGAGGATAGCTTGAGCCCAGGAGTTGGTGGCTGCAGTAGCTATGATGATGCCACTGCACTCCAGCCTGGACAACAGAGTGAGACTTTGTCTCAACAAAACAAACAAACAAAACAAAACATAAATACTATACCATTATCTTTTTCTTCTTATGGTACTTCTTTAGAAATGTACTGTATTTTTCCAATTTTCTGTAGGAACCTTTAAAAAAATAAGAATTCACTATATATACACGTCCTCTAAAATTAGAGAAAATTTTAAATACTTTAAAGAAATTATATTGGAAACTATTCAGTGAGATCAACTAGCTATTTTAATGAGTATATGCTAAACACATACTTTTAGTTCAATAAATAACTGGAACTATTATATACAATATATCTTCTGCTTCCTGTTTTTTTTTTTCTAAAATATCATGTTCTAACTAACACGTCTATGGAACTTACTTCTGTATCTAAGGATTTGCCTCAATTCCTCCCTAATGAACAAGTCTACCTTTTTCAAATAGCTCAGCCACTTACATCATGATTACCTTAAATTCAATAAAGTATGGTACTGTGGAGCATGGTCCACTGAAAGATTATGGGGAGCTCTGAAATCAGATAACCTGTATTTCAATCCAAGTTCTGATATTTACATATTGAGGACAATGAATATATATAAAATTATGTTTCTAAG